TAGAATCCAGAGGACCTTGAACGCAGCCTCTCCTGAGCTCCTAGCGAGACAAGGCACAAAACAAATCTTACAGAGGCGAGAAGGCCGCAGGTGTGTGTTTGTGTGAAACTCCGAGAAGCTTAATCGCAGCACCCCGCCCTTCTTGTTGTCTGCTCCTCTTCTCTTCACGTCTCGTTTCCTGTCTTTTCCGTCCTTTTCTGTCCTTCTCTTCTCGCTCTTTACTTCTCATTCCTGTATTTTCTTCTATTCTCCTTCACCTGCTGCTTATTTCTTGACTTTGATTTCCATTTTTTGTCTCTATTTTCATCCTCTTTTCTTTTTCTTCCACTCTTGTCTCCTCTTTTCTTTCATCTATTCATTACTGTCTTATCATTTCTTCATCTGTCTTCACCTCCTTTTTACCCAGTTCTTTATCATTTTTTATTCCATTCCACATTTAATATTTTTTGTTCTTGACTGTTTGTCTGATAGAACATGTAACAAGATGATTTTGAAGATTATAGTTTGATTAATGAAGAAAACAATCTGCAGAATATTAATAGTATTCATTGGTTGCAGCTCTATTTTTACGCTGCCATTAAACCAAATAACTCCAATAAAAATCAAGAACCTTTTTGTACTTTAAAGAACCACATAAAGCATGAATGAATTTATAAAACGAGATCCTTCATTTGAGACTACCTTCCTCCTCTGCCTTTTCTCTCAAGCTTCCAAAGTTAATCTTTTCACTTTTTCTTTACCTTTATCTTCCCACCAATTTCTTTGCATTATTTCTTATTTAGTTTCTCTGTTCTGCTTATTCCATCCTTCCCGTCCTTCTCTGACTCTAACTCCGACAGGTACAATGCGACTGCCTTTCTCAGAGCTGATCAGTAACAGAGACACTTCATTACAGAGAGGAAGCAAATTAATCGTGTATTTTTCTAAATTCTCTTAGTTTTTCCTTCCTCTTTCTTTCACACTTTTGTCCTGTCCCTCCACCTTTGTCTTTATTTTTTTTTTCTTTCACCCCGTGTCTTTCTTGCTGCGTATCCTCTCAATATTTCCCCCTTTCTTCCTTTTCCTTTCTTAACCCCTTCCTATGTGTATCCACCCGTTTCCATCACTTTGTCACTTCTCATCTCTTTATTTCTTTCTTTTCTCCACACCTCCCTCCATTTATATTTCCCTTCTTTTCCCTCAGCCTCCCTATCTCCCATTTCATCCCTTTATTTCCCTCTGCCGGTCCTTTTTTTCCTCTCACTTCTCCCCTGCTTCTTCTCTCTACATTCATTCCATTAATCCCTCCATTTCTCTTCATTCAATTTCTTTTTCCCCGTGTTTCATTTTTTTCCCCACTCCCCCGTATCTCTCCTTCACCTTTCCTCTTTTCTCCACCTCACATCCTCTTACCCCGTCTCTTCTTTCATGTCTTTCTTCATCTTTCCGTCCCCCTTCTTTTGTTCTCTGTTATCTCCATCCATCCATCCATCCCTCCATCCTCCCCTCTCTTCCTCTCGTTCTTCATGCTTCGTTGTTACAGCCACCAGGGGAAGAACTACCAACACAGTCTTAACACATTCGCACACGCAAAGAGTCTGACTCCCAGCCCTCTAATGGCCCCATTTAGACAATGTGTCGCATCAGCAAGTTGTATGGCTGAATAATGAGAAGAGAAGAAGAAGGAGGAGGAGGAGGAGGAGGAGGAGGACAAGAGGAGAAGAAGATGAGGAGTGTCGGGCGTTTTCCGCATCCCTCCATCCAGACAGCTGCTTCACCATAAATGTTGTCCTGTTACACACACCATCAGCGCCGTGACCCTGCTTGTGTTTGTCTGCGTGTGCGTGCGTTCATTCATCTCCACAATGTGCCAGCGCGTGTGGTCGTTGGGGAGAAATATGGCCTCCGGGGGTTTTGCCGAAGCTCCTGTGTTATGTTTATGATGCGGCAAAGGAGAGAGAGAGAATAATAATGTACGTTCTTTATATCGCTCGCCCTCAAAGAAACATCCCCTTTCTCCGTCTCTCTTATGCGTTACACAAATACACGCCCGAAACACACACTTCCTCTCTATCAAGTGAAACACACACTCCCCAGCCTCTGAAACGATACCTTGCGCACACACTCAGTGATGCTCGCAAACACATTCACTCCCACAGTCTTTCAAAACAAGACACACACACAAACTCCTTCCTGCATGCAGGCAGGCAGGCATCTGTACTGTCTCATAAATGATATATACTCTCTTTTAAACTACACACACACACTCAAAGCAGAGCTCCGACAGACAGAAAGTGCAGCTGTAGCTGTTTTTTTTTTTTTTTAAAGTCATTGCCACCTTGTGTTTTTCACCACCAGCTGTTATGAGCTGAACGGAATTTATGTGCTACATTAACATTTTATATCTTACTTTATAATGTTTGTATTTTCTGGAGAAGTAGAGGTTTCTGCAGAGCTGGTAGTTTCTTCTGTGCAACACTAGAAACGGAGTCTTTTTGGTATTTCTGTGGAAAAACATGAAGGCATACTGACTTTTACTGTGGCTAACACTAAGGACTTAACTCCTTTTTGCACATTATAGGCCCATGTTGCTGCTTTTGAATGCTCTAATATATGAATCACAAATTGCATATGTTTTACATTATTCGTGTCTATTTTTAAAGGAACACTTTAGGCTTTTAGGTTGATTTCAAGCCTTCCAGGCAGCCAATTTGCTGAGACTTCAGACTTATCCGAGCTTGTAAAATCATTTCACGGAACGTTTTGTTACCTGTATTCTGCTATCAAAGTTTCTTTGTGGTGCTGTAGCTGAAGAGAGCGTCTTTTGAAAGTCCTCTGTAGTGGTGTGTTCAAGGATGTCCTGTCATCTGAAAAAAAAAAAAAAAACAACCATTGAAATGATCACACACTCTGTATTCTTTTCACGACGTCCATGTGTTCATTATATGTCCTTTAGAATTGATTTTCATACTGCAAAAGTCACGAATGCAGCGCAGTTCAGCAGCTAGCCATCAATTCTCAGATGTCAGAATGAATTGAATGCATGTTCATTACCACTTAGTGGTAAGTGACAAAAAACTAAAGGGAAGATGGATTACCTGCTGTACCTCAAGCAGCTTTTTAAGTCTCTGCATGTGATTTTCATACATTACGGAAATCAGCTGAAGGCAGTGGTTATTTTGAAGGTTAAAAACATGAATCTGTACAAGTGTACAATCGTGTTTAAAACCTAGCTAGTTTGGTGAAGGACTGCAACTGTGTTTTCCCATTTGGTTGCGTTTGTTTAGGCTGGTGACTAAGCTAAACTACTATTCATTTTCAGGAATCTTCAATTTTACCTTGTTAACGTGTCCATGTGGTGTTTTTTTATATCAAGACACAGGGCGGCTGTGGTTCAGGTGGTAGAGCAGGTTGTCCTCCAATCGCAAGGTTTGATCCCCTGCCCCTCCACAGTTGCGCATAGTCGAAGTGTCCTTAGGCAAAACACTGAACCCGAAGTTGCTCCCAATGGCAGCTAGCACCTTGAATTGGTGTTTGAATATGTGTGTGATTGCGTGAATGAGAAACATATTGTAAAGCGCTTTGAATAAAAGCAAAGCGCTATGTAAGTGCAGATCAGACGTCTTCATACATAACAGACTTATGGACAATCCTGTCAACATGTGGGACAGAGCATTCTGTATCGTTAGTCTTCTGCAGAATTGATTTCAGGTTTTACTATGCATGTCTTAGTCACTCTAATATTACAGTTGTAGTGTAGAGTAAAACAGGGTTTAAGCAACGTGGCAGGTGAGCTGGTGTGCTCAAACTGCAGCAAGTAATTCAGGACTGTGTGGAGAAATAGACCTAATAGAACTGCACAGTCCACAAGAAGCAACAGTGTGGAGTTACATTAAAGTCATTTTAAAACATGAAGGGATTATTTTTGTTGATGCGCATTGATACGTTTTTAGGGGTTAAATCAATAACCAGAAAGTGACTGCAGACACGATCAATGACAACTAACGCAAAATGTACCAAGACTAAAAAGCAACATGAACCTTTTTCCCCTGTATATCTTTGAACCAAACCAAAGGTGTGAAACATCCTTGTACTAAATGTAAATAAAGTAAAGGTACATAAACTAATGCGATCTGTAATTAATAGGCTATAAATTGTTTAACCATCATAATTAGGAGGGTCACTTCATTATGTTTCACACAATACCTCACTTACCAAGACTGAATTATAGCGTATTTGCCAAGCAATACACTGCTGAGCAGCTGAGAGACAAAGTGCTGCATTTAGTCACAAAACAAGGAGAGAGCAAAGAGGCTGAAAAACCGAAGTCCAACATTCATCTTGTTAAATACCAAAGAGCAGAAAGTAAAAACCTGTCTGAATCTTCCTTAAGTAAAATGACCTCTAAAAACTCTCCAGATGCTTTTAAAAAGCCCCGCACTGTGGACAGCAGAACGTACAGATACACTCACACACACACACACGCACATAGACAACATATCCTCAGTGGATATGCACAAACCAACACTCACAATGTGACATTTATGACTAAGTCTCACAGTCATTTGTCATCCACTCTGATGAGTGCTCCAAACAAAATGTCAGTCAACAAAAAGCAACACTGGTTACTATAAACCAAGCAACGTACTCACTTGTCTCATATATCAAAGGTGGTTTTAACACAGGTTTACTCTGTTGAATGACACAATTGGTCTCTGCAATAGCCCACAACAAAAAGTCCTGGTGCTGATATGAACAAATATGAGAATATGAGACAAACCAACACGTTGATTAAGTAATTACTAAGTAAACACTTGCCAAACATTCTCTGTTATGACTTGTCCGAATAATGACGTGGAATTTCTTCTTTTTATAGTATGGAATGAATATATATAAATGAATATGAATATGAATATGAATATATATATTCATTCCACACAGTAAAACATCAAGATATTAATCAAACATGAACATGGTCATTACTTCCAGCCCTACTAATTGACTGATTGTTTGATCCACAGATTTCGGATGCAGAGTGGGAGGACATGTTGGAGGGCTTTGATGAGCGGGGTTACCTGAGCGCTCGGCGCTGGAAGCCTGGTGACGACCCGTACACCCTGTACGCTTTCAACCAGAGAGAGAGCGAACGCATCCCCAGCAACCGAGCCCTGAGAGATACCAGACACTACAGGTACAAAGAAACCTTAAAAAACCTCACAAGAAAGAAACATAAAACACCCCACAAACATACAACACAGCACACAGATACAGAAACTTACATAGAAACAAGAGCACACGTGCACTGTCTGCACACAGAGATCTCATGCAACACTGAACACTTGTGTAGTGTGTAAGATGTCAGGTGAGGTCGAGAAAATGCATATCGTGTGTGGCAAACTTTATCAGTATAACCCGAGTAACACAGCAGTGTGCTGTGTTCAACCTGACCTCTGGAGGGATATGTTTATTATACACACACTCCACAGTGTGATGTATGAATCTGTCAAAAGTGCACTGAATAAAAAGGGAGCTTATCAGTACACACACAAACCAAACTCCAGTAGCCTGCAGGCGTAAACAAACACATCAAAAACACACAACACTACAGATCAGCTCTCAGTATTACAGGTATGTACACACTCTCACACACACACGCACAGAGAAAGAGAGTGAGAGTTAAACACAGCAGAAGCTCCTGGAGCTCGTAATGAATCCCCTATCTGTACTAAAACAAATTTAGATTATGGAACCAAACACGTTTTCATAGAGAAACCACCAAATTACAATCCGTCTGTCCGCTAAGAAATTAAATTAAACCAAAATAGAAATCCTCTTAGCGGAGTGCCGTCCTCGTCTGTTGGAAAGGCGCTCAGCAGGAAGATAAGGAGCTTGCCGCTTTGACAGCAGCCTCCTACTTATATATTTCAGGAGATAAAAACTTCCAGGCACTTGTGGAAAGCGTACAGAGGTCCAGTGTAGTCGTGCTGAGATCATGTGGAACAGAAACACACCTTTTTTTCTTTNAAAAAAAAAAGTTGTTTATGCAACCTTTTACTGAAAAACAAATAGCTAAGTGATTCTGACTTGGCACTGGGATAATGGAGAAACTGGTGTTTCAGTGATTACTCAGACAGTGTGGGGGACATTGCATGAGGTCAGCCTCATGCAATGTGTTGGATTGTGTCTCAGATGAAAACCACTGCTCACAAAATGGCACAAAATCACATTTTGAGTAAGAGGATGAAAAGAAACCTGGTGAATATTGGCAGCACATTCTTTGGTCAAATAAAACCAAAATAAATTTGTTTGGATCGCATGTGGGTTGTGCATGTTTGGCTTTGACCTGTCCACGACCACCAGAGTGACTGTGTAGTGCTGACTGTGATCACTAATACTGAATGAAAAGATGCCTCCCAGTCTCAAGAAGCTTGGCAGGAGGTGGATTTCCCAACATGCCAGTGATCCCAAACATGCTGTAAACAATTACACAAGAGTTGTTAAAGGATTAAAAAGTCACAAGTATAACCTGGTCTATTGGATTCATGTGAGATGCCATGAAACGCACATCCGTGTTTTAAAATAGAAACAAGGCTAACAAAGCCCCTCCAGGAAAGAGCAACTGATAAGAATCATCAGAGAAAAATGGCAGAACATCTCTCCACAGATTTGCGACAGTCTGGTATGATGTCCAGAAGGATTGGATCAGTCATCAAAAACAATGGCAGGCATACAAATCTAGAAAAAAAAATACAAATAAAGAAGGAAATATCACTAGTAAGAATGTAATTGTGCTGAAATAGCAATGCTGCTCACGTTGTAGATAGAATTTTGATTTTTCAAATTAATCAAATCAATTCTTCTTTGACTTTGTGCTACAACAAATAAAACTGCATTAAATGTGACAAGATATGCAGTCATTTAACATTTTAGTGATGTTGAGTAGTGGAGTATTCAGTTTTGTTGGCGGCTGATACGATTCTTCCAGAAACTCAGCTGAAGTAACTCAACTTCTAAAAGTTATTGATGCTTCGTTATAGCTATGTGCAACTTCAGTGTGTTTTGTCTGGATTGTAAAATGGAGAAACAGAGTGTAAATAGTTAGGGGGAAAGAGAAGAGAGAGCGCAGAAAAAAATAAACAAAACATAGAAAGAGTCCAAGTTTTGGGTTCATTTCATGCTGAAAAAAGAAAAAAAAAAAAACCTCAGAGTTTGTTAGCAATTGCAACGTACCTTTATATACCTTACATGTCCGACTCACTGCCTAAATACCTCGTACACGCTGCTCTAAAGCTTTCAACTTGCTGACTAACCAACTACCTGCTAACGAAAGGTGTTGAGCCAAATGTTGCATCCCTGCTGGATTCTGATGGATGTCCGCAAAATAATCGTAGCAGATTTTATTTTCTGTCATTCTGTTTCTTTGTCTCCACTAACCTTTCCAAAAGAGCTCGACTGCCTGACCTCTGTATGGGCCTGGGATCAGGTATGGAGGATATGCCATTAAACCAACTTGAAACTTACATTTTTCTAAAAAAGGAACCCCATTGTTTGTTTATTTTAAAAGACCTGTGCTGTTTTCTATTTCATATACTCTGGCTATTGCTTTTTAATAAAGCAAAAATGATTTCTTGGAATGGAACAGTCAACAGAATGCTCAATTACTGTGATAATTGTGAGCTGCAGCGCTGGTTTGTTGTAAACTCAATTTTTAAACATCATCGCGCCTCATGTAAAAGATAAACAAACAAGCAAACAAAGAAATTACTGTTTATTTCTCAGAGACATGAAAGCTACGTTTGGGGAGATTTCTGATTTTCTGTTTTCAGACATGCTTACCCTTGAAATCACTATCTCTCTTTTACTTGTTCTTGCATACATTTTCACAAATTAATTATGATTAGCAGTAGATACCAAACTCCTGTTTCTCCACATCAAGGCTTAACAATCTTGTTATCTCAAGACAGCAAAATATAAAATCCGTCACTTCAACTTCTGAGTTTTATCTACAACAGAAACTCTGGGTGCACTTTGTGTCTCTTCTGCTCTGATTAAAGCAGAATGTGATGTTGATCAATCGTTTCCTCTGACTGTGTGTGTGCGCTGCTTTGGTTTCCCTTCACTGAGCTGAACTATAAAAGCTGATGGCGCCCCGAGTCCCTCTGAAGTTGATCTGAAGATCTAAAGTCACAATCTCACACAACAGTTTGCGGCTTCATGGGATAACAAGATCGTTAGTCATGACCTGAAGATAACAAAACTTTGATACCTCGTTGCGGGACGAAAACTAATTGGCAAACTTAAGATAACAGGATTAGAAAAAAAAAAACGTCTATGTAAATTAGGTCTGTCTTGCTGTGAGTCATTTAGAGAATGTCTTTTTTTTTTTTTTTCTCCCCAAACGCGGATGTTTTGTGCAGCGTCTGACCTGTCTTGGCTGTTACTAATCCCACTCTTCTCTGTTTTCCTTTGTTTGTCTTATTCCTTTACCCTGTATAATCTGTTCTCTGGATGCTTATCTGTGTGAGTTTTTTTGAATTAGGGATTTCACTGTCAGCCTGTGCTACATAATAATTCTTAATCTGCAGCTAAAAATCCATATTCATATGTTTGTCTTCTGCAGACGGTTTTTTAGCCTCTTATGCATGACCAGATATATTCAGCATCTGTAGCAGGTTTTCCTTTTGCATTTTTTCCTGCTTTATTTTTTATTTAGGTATTATTCGCCTGTTTCCGTTATGAAAGATGAACTATTTTTATGTATTCCTAATAATAATGACTGAAAGGAGAAAAATTTGTAAGAAAGCCAGGGAAACACATACAAAAGAAGGAGAAAATAATCATCTCTGATATAAGAAATGCTCAGCAACCTCTCCACCTCAATCCTACCTTTATAACCAGGCTCATAGAATTTTTTATTTTTTTTTTAAATCGGAGGAGATGAAGGATGATATTCCTCTTACCTCTGTAATAATACCACTGATAACTGCCAGCACTCTGAGTTTAATTTACCTTTGAAGAAGCAAAGACATAATGTAAAAAGGAACATAAAATAATGGAGATCTCACTTGTTTTGCTGCTTTGTTGCAGTCGTTACAAAGGTGATACATCACAATATAATAGAGGGGTTGACATGTGTTTGTTTATGTGTGTGTGTGTGTTCATACGGTGCACATGAACAGGGGATAATAAAGACAAACACATGATTTATGCCTGGGATATAATAGGTAATTTATCATCTGACTGGGGCACATTTTAGGGTAAAGAAACCCAGAGAGGGAGAGAGAGAAGGATGGCTTTGTAGTATTATCAGAAATAACAGCAGCGCTTAATGGAAACCTTGATCTGTAATGTCTGTTTTTGTAAAACTGTAAGGCTCTCACACCGTATCTTTCATTCGCTTTGCCATGCTGAGCTGGACAGTCTGTAATTCTCCCCCTCGCTGTTACACACAAACACGTGCACGTCTTCAAAGAGGAATGTTCTCATTAGCAGCCGTCCTGTGTTCAGAGGCTGACGGCTCTCTGCTTTCTCCTTCAGTGCTTTGCTTCTGCGCTTGAGTCACTGACAACCAGGTGACACGCCGAAAATATTTAGACAATACTGACACTGATATTAAAACGGATGCTGATTACTAATTCATGTAAGGCGACTGACCCTCATCCCATACTGACAGTGTTCCTACTGCTGAGCACATTGACCATAATAGCAGCTGCAGCCACTACGATAACTTTCATTGGAGACCGGCAACACACAGAGGGGAAGGTTTTGATTTATAATTCAGGATTAGATTTCTGCTGTAAATATAGTTAAGATTGCATCACGGTTGGTCTGAACACAGCCACAGGTATAAGATCTGTATGTACGATAACAAAATATTCAGTGAAACAGTGACATAACTTTGTCCGTTTATTGACTAAACCTCTAAAAAACTATCTTTGTGTATGAAGGTCACATACTTTTTCCATAAAAATAATCTTACAAACGATCAGATTGCACTGTTGTTTCCGTTCCCTGCCTTGCTCCCCATCCACTTCTCCTCTGTTTGCCGCAGCTCGATCTCACCGAGTTCACCTACGATTCTGCTCCAACACTGCAACAGTGCTCTGTGCTACACAATGGCTCGTTGTGATACTGAAGTAATTTAGCTGTTCGAACTGGAAACTGAAGATACTGATGTAGAATAATGCTACAGAAAGTGTCATTGCTTTGTCATGGGTTCATTGCAGTTTCAAGGTGGAAACACTCAGCCATGGTGTCGACTGATGCTCATGTGTCTTCTTGCATTGTTTCCTCTGAGGTTTATGTTTCCGGATTTCAGTCACAATGATGGAACATTCACCAAGCTGGCTATGTAGGATGTCCTGATCAAGCACTTAATTTGGTCACTTTGACTATTGGCAGTTCTGCGTTGGCATATGAGGTGTGTCAGAAAAGTTCCAGGACTGGTGTCACAAATGATATATTTCAAATCCAAACTACAAACTACAAGTTTTCCCCGGATTCTCACAGGATCCTCCACAGCTCCGTTGTCACAGCCATCTTGATGTCTTTCACGTCTTTAAAGCGGGTCCCTTTGGTGACCCCCTTGAGCTTGGGGAAGAGGACAAAATTCCACGGAGCCAGGTGGGGTGAGTAGGGAGGTTGCTCCAGCACAACGATGTTCTTCTCAGCCAGGAACTGTGGGATGCTCAGGGCGTTGTGAGCAGGTGTGTTGTCATGGTGAAGCAGCCACAACTTGTCCTGCCACAACTCTCACCTCTTCTAACACACTGAACGAAACAAACGCCACAGGATCTCTTTGTAGATGTGCTGGTTGATCGTCTGGTGGGGAAAACTTGTAGTTTGTAGTTCGGGTTTGAAATTTTTTTTTTATGCTACCAGTCCTGGAACTTTTCTGACACGCCTCATACAGAGAGCATTCTCGGGGTTTAGGTAGCAACGGGCCACCATGACAAAGACATGTGTGACACTTAATGACCTCCAACCAGAGTTCATGCGTTTGAGACAAATGACTGCCTTTGTGACCAATATCATGTGTGACTGAAACAACAACACCATCCCCGGCAAAAGTGCTTTTATTAGAAAAATTACTCATAATTGGTTTTCCCAGCATCCTGCCATAAATTCTGTTCTCCCGTTATAACACCTGTGCATGTAAACAAAGGCGTAGAGTTGTGCCATACTGATCAATAAAAAAATGCCTTGATCTGCACTCCCATGTATTTAGAACTGCTATTAATACCACTTTTACCACTAGCTAAGTAGTGATAGTTGGTTTTGATGACTTGTTTGAAGGGGAGTGCTGCTCAAACTGATGAGAGGGATTCAAGTCAACATCCTTCCTGCTCCAAGACCAGGAATTTATGATACAAGTTGCTTTGTGTTCTGTATCCTCTCCCTCTCTCTCTCTCTTTACTCCTTCTGTCTTTCCCCATTGTGAGCTGTCAGAAAGTACGCAATGACCGTGACATCCGGGTGTATGTGTGTGTGTGTGTGTGTGTGTGTGTGTGTGTGTGCAGGCTTCAGCTTTCTCATTATGATTCTAAATGTATCAGTCTGTCTCATCTGGATGAATTAATAGGTTCCTTGGTGGCTTGGCTCAACACACACACACATGCGCACACACACAAACACGCACACACACACACACACACACACGCCCACACACACACGCGCACACACACAACACACAACACACGCGCTGTTTGTCCAGTGGGTCGTGCCTCAGGTTTGTTAATTGAATGTCTGTGTTCATGTAAGCGGCCGTGAGAGGCATTGAGAGGATGCCACGGTGCATTAGGAAGACAAGCGGTGTGTGTGTATGTGTGAGCGTCTGTGTGACTGTAAATAGGATAGAATCCAGAGGACCTTGAACGCAGCCTCTCCTGAGCTCCTAGCGAGACAAGGCACAAAACAAATCTTACAGAGGCGAGAAGGCCGCAGGTGTGTGTTTGTGTGAAACTCCGAGAAGCTTAATCGCAGCACCCCGCCCTTCTTGTTGTCTGCTCCTCTTCTCTTCACGTCTCGTTTCCTGTCTTTTCCGTCCTTTTCTGTCCTTCTCTTCTCGCTCTTTACTTCTCATTCCTGTATTTTCTTCTATTCTCCTTCACCTGCTGCTTATTTCTTGACTTTGATTTCCATTTTTTGTCTCTATTTTCATCCTCTTTTCTTTTTCTTCCACTCTTGTCTCCTCTTTTCTTTCATCTATTCATTACTGTCTTATCATTTCTTCATCTGTCTTCACCTCCTTTTTACCCAGTTCTTTATCATTTTTTATTCCATTCCACATTTAATATTTTTTGTTCTTGACTGTTTGTCTGATAGAACATGTAACAAGATGATTTTGAAGATTATAGTTTGATTAATGAAGAAAACAATCTGCAGAATATTAATAGTATTCATTGGTTGCAGCTCTATTTTTACGCTGCCATTAAACCAAATAACTCCAATAAAAATCAAGAACCTTTTTGTACTTTAAAGAACCACATAAAGCATGAATGAATTTATAAAACGAGATCCTTCATTTGAGACTACCTTCCTCCTCTGCCTTTTCTCTCAAGCTTCCAAAGTTAATCTTTTCACTTTTTCTTTACCTTTATCTTCCCACCAATTTCTTTGCATTATTTCTTATTTAGTTTCTCTGTTCTGCTTATTCCATCCTTCCCGTCCTTCTCTGACTCTAACTCCGACAGGTACAATGCGACTGCCTTTCTCAGAGCTGATCAGTAACAGAGACACTTCATTACAGAGAGGAAGCAAATTAATCGTGTATTTTTCTAAATTCTCTTAGTTTTTCCTTCCTCTTTCTTTCACACTTTTGTCCTGTCCCTCCACCTTTGTCTTTATTTTTTTTTTCTTTCACCCCGTGTCTTTCTTGCTGCGTATCCTCTCAATATTTCCCCCTTTCTTCCTTTTCCTTTCTTAACCCCTTCCTATGTGTATCCACCCGTTTCCATCACTTTGTCACTTCTCATCTCTTTATTTCTTTCTTTTCTCCACACCTCCCTCCATTTATATTTCCCTTCTTTTCCCTCAGCCTCCCTATCTCCCATTTCATCCCTTTATTTCCCTCTGCCGGTCCTTTTTTTCCTCTCACTTCTCCCCTGCTTCTTCTCTCTACATTCATTCCATTAATCCCTCCATTTCTCTTCATTCAATTTCTTTTTCCCCGTGTTTCATTTTTTTCCCCACTCCCCCGTATCTCTCCTTCACCTTTCCTCTTTTCTCCACCTCACATCCTCTTACCCCGTCTCTTCTTTCATGTCTTTCTTCATCTTTCCGTCCCCCTTCTTTTGTTCTCTGTTATCTCCATCCATCCATCCATCCCTCCATCCTCCCCTCTCTTCCTCTCGTTCTTCATGCTTCGTTGTTACAGCCACCAGGGGAAGAACTACCAACACAGTCTTAACACATTCGCACACGCAAAGAGTCTGACTCCCAGCCCTCTAATGGCCCCATTTAGACAATGTGTCGCATCAGCAAGTTGTATGGCTGAATAATGAGAAGAGAAGAAGAAGGAGGAGGAGGAGGAGGAGGAGGAGGACAAGAGGAGAAGAAGATGAGGAGTGTCGGGCGTTTTCCGCATCCCTCCATCCAGACAGCTGCTTCACCATAAATGTTGTCCTGTTACACACACCATCAGCGCCGTGACCCTGCTTGTGTTTGTCTGCGTGTGCGTGCGTTCATTCATCTCCACAATGTGCCAGCGCGTGTGGTCGTTGGGGAGAAATATGGCCTCCGGGGGTTTTGCCGAAGCTCCTGTGTTATGTTTATGATGCGGCAAAGGAGAGAGAGAGAATAATAATGTACGTTCTTTATATCGCTCGCCCTCAAAGAAACATCCCCTTTCTCCGTCTCTCTTATGCGTTACACAAATACACGCCCGAAACACACACTTCCTCTCTATCAAGTGAAACACACACTCCCCAGCCTCTGAAACGATACCTTGCGCACACACTCAGTGATGCTCGCAAACACATTCACTCCCACAGTCTTTCAAAACAAGACACACACACAAACTCCTTCCTGCATGCAGGCAGGCAGGCATCTGTACTGTCTCATAAATGATATATACTCTCTTTTAAACTACACACACACACTCAAAGCAGAGCTCCGACAGACAGAAAGTGCAGCTGTAGCTGTTTTTTTTTTTTTTTAAAGTCATTGCCACCTTGTGTTTTTCACCACCAGCTGTTATGAGCTGAACGGAATTTATGTGCTACATTAACATTTTATATCTTACTTTATAATGTTTGTATTTTCTGGAGAAGTAGAGGTTTCTGCAGAGCTGGTAGTTTCTTCTGTGCAACACTAGAAACGGAGTCTTTTTGGTATTTCTGTGGAAAAACATGAAGGCATACTGACTTTTACTGTGGCTAACACTAAGGACTTAACTCCTTTTTGCACATTATAGGCCCATGTTGCTGCTTTTGAATGCTCTAATATATGAATCACAAATTGCATATGTTTTACATTATTCGTGTCTATTTTTAAAGGAACACTTTAGGCTTTTAGGTTGATTTCAAGCCTTCCAGGCAGCCAATTTGCTGAGACTTCAGACTTATCCGAGCTTGTAAAATCATTTCACGGAACGTTTTGTTACCTGTATTCTGCTATCAAAGTTTCTTTGTGGTGCTGTAGCTGAAGAGAGCGTCTTTTGAAAGTCCTCTGTAGTGGTGTGTTCAAGGATGTCCTGTCATCTGAAAAAAAAAAAAAAAACAACCATTGAAATGATCACACACTCTGTATTCTTTTCACGACGTCCATGTGTTCATTATATGTCCTTTAGAATTGATTTTCATACTGCAAAAGTCACGAATGCAGCGCAGTTCAGCAGCTAGCCATCAATTCTCAGATGTCAGAATGAATTGAATGCATGTTCATTACCACTTAGTGGTAAGTGACAAAAAACTAAAGGGAAGATGGATTACCTGCTGTACCTCAAGCAGCTTTTTAAGTCTCTGCATGTGATTTTCATACATTACGGAAATCAGCTGAAGGCAGTGGTTATTTTGAAGGTTAAAAACATGAATCTGTACAAGTGTACAATCGTGTTTAAAACCTAGCTAGTTTGGTGAAGGACTGCAACTGTGTTTTCCCATTTGGTTGCGTTTGTTTAGGCTGGTGACTAAGCTAAACTACTATTCATTTTCAGGAATCTTCAATTTTACCTTGTTAACGTGTCCATGTGGTGTTTTTTTATATCAAGACACAGGGCGGCTGTGGTTCAGGTGGTAGAGCAGGTTGTCCTCCAATCGCAAGGTTTGATCCCCTGCCCCTCCACAGTTGCGCATAGTCGAAGTGTCCTTAGGCAAAACACTGAACCCGAAGTTGCTCCCAATGGCAGCTAGCACCTTGAATTGGTGTTTGAATATGTGTGTGATTGCGTGAATGAGAAACATATTGTAAAGCGCTTTGAATAAAAGCAAAGCGCTATGTAAGTGCAGATCAGACGTCTTCATACATAACAGACTTATGGACAATCCTGTCAACATGTGGGACAGAGCATTCTGTATCGTTAGTCTTCTGCAGAATTGATTTCAGGTTTTACTATGCATGTCTTAGTCACTCTAATATTACAGTTGTAGTGTAGAGTAAAACAGGGTTTAAGCAACGTGGCAGGTGAGCTGGTGTGCTCAAACTGCAGCAAGTAATTCAGGACTGTGTGGAGAAATAGACCTAATAGAACTGCACAGTCCACAAGAAGCAACAGTGTGGAGTTACATTAAAGTCATTTTAAAACATGAAGGGATTATTTTTGTTGATGCGCATTGATACGTTTTTAGGGGTTAAATCAATAACCAGAAAGTGACTGCAGACACGATCAATGACAACTAACGCAAAATGTACCAAGACTAAAAAGCAACATGAACCTTTTTCCCCTGTATATCTTTGAACCAAACCAAAGGTGTGAAACATCCTTGTACTAAATGTAAATAAAGTAAAGGTACATAAACTAATGCGATCTGTAATTAATAGGCTATAAATTGCTTAACCATCATAATTAGGAGGGTCACTTCATTATGTTTCACACAATACCTCACTTACCAAGACTGAATTATAGCGTATTTGCCAAGCAATACACTGCTGAGCAGCTGAGAGACAAAGTGCTGCATTTAGTCACAAAACAAGGAGAGAGCAAAGAGGCTGAAAAACCGAAGTCCAACATTCATCTTGTTAAATACCAAAGAGCAGAAAGTAAAAACCTGTCTGAATCTTCCTTAAGTAAAATGACCTCTAAAAACTCTCCAGATGCTTTTAAAAAGCCCCGCACTGTGGACAGCAGAACGTACAGATACACTCACACACACACACACGCACATAGACAACATATCCTCAGTGGATATGCACAAACCAACACTCACAATGTGACATTTATGACTAAGTCTCACAGTCATTTGTCATCCACTCTGATGAGTGCTCCAAACAAAATGTCAGTCAACAAAAAGCAACACTGGTTACTATAAACCAAGCAACGTACTCACTTGTCTCATATATCAAAGGTGGTTTTAACACAGGTTTACTCTGTTGAATGACACAATTGGTCTCTGCAATAGCCCACAACAAAAAGTCCTGGTGCTGATATGAACAAATATGAGAATATGAGACAAACCAACACGTTGATTAAGTAATTACTAAGTAAACACTTGCCAAACATTCTCTGTTATGACTTGTCCGAATAATGACGTGGAATTTCTTCTTTTTATAGTATGGAATGAATATATATAAATGAATATGAATATGAATATGAATATATATATTCATTCCACACAGTAAAACATCAAGATATTAATCAAACATGAACATGGTCATTACTTCCAGCCCTACTAATTGACTGATTGTTTGATCCACAGATTTCGGATGCAGAGTGGGAGGACATGTTGGAGGGCTTTGATGAGCGGGGTTACCTGAGCGCTCGGCGCTGGAAGCCTGGTGACGACCCGTACACCCTGTACGCTTTCAACCAGAGAGAGAGCGAACGCATCCCCAGCAACCGAGCCCTGAGAGATACCAGACACTACAGGTACAAAGAAACCTTAAAAAACCTCACAAGAAAGAAACATAAAACACCCCACAAACATACAACACAGCACACAGATACAGAAACTTACATAGAAACAAGAGCACACGTGCACTGTCTGCACACAGAGATCTCATGCAACACTGAACACTTGTGTAGTGTGTAAGATGTCAGGTGAGGTCGAGAAAATGCATATCGTGTGTGGCAAACTTTATCAGTATAACCCGAGTAACACAGCAGTGTGCTGTGTTCAACCTGACCTCTGGAGGGATATGTTTATTATACACACACTCCACAGTGTGATGTATGAATCTGTCAAAAGTGCACTGAATAAAAAGGGAGCTTATCAGTACACACACAAACCAAACTCCAGTAGCCTGCAGGCGTAAACAAACACATCAAAAACACACAACACTACAGATCAGCTCTCAGTATTACAGGTATGTACACACTCTCACACACACACGCACAGAGAAAGAGAGTGAGAGTTAAACACAGCAGAAGCTCCTGGAGCTCGTAATGAATCCCCTATCTGTACTAAAACAAATTTAGATTATGGAACCAAACACGTTTTCATAGAGAAACCACCAAATTACAATCCGTCTGTCCGCTAAGAAATTAAATTAAACCAAAATAGAAATCCTCTTAGCGGAGTGCCGTCCTCGTCTGTTGGAAAGGCGCTCAGCAGGAAGATAAGGAGCTTGCCGCTTTGACAGCAGCCTCCTACTTATATATTTCAGGAGATAAAAACTTCCAGGCACTTGTGGAAAGCGTACAGAGGTCCAGTGTAGTCGTGCTGAGATCATGTGGAACAGAAACACACCTTTTTTTCTTTCTTTTTTTGCTGAGCTGCTGTTTCCATTATGCTTGCAACAATAAAGGCGCTCTAGTACTTTGATCTGCTCTTACAGTTTTTATATTGTGACTTTGTTGTTTACCATACTGTACCTCTCAAATTCAGCTTTACATAAGTTATATGTCTAGAAAGTTTGTGAGCACCACAGAAGTTTCACCACATAACTTAGTTTCTAATGACTTACCTGAACATGTGATGATGTCTTTTTATATTAGTGTAGTATATATATATTTAGATACTTTCCTCGTCAGCAAATCTCATAAAAAGACCCAAAACCAACAATGAGTCAGTTCTAATAATACATGTTGCGTACATTAACCCTATTCAGGACTTTCATGTTGCCATATGTAGAGGGTCTTTCTTGGGGTCTATTGGACCCCAAGAAAGAATATGTGCAAAATATTTGTTGTTTTTCTTTTTGGCTTTTTTTCTGTTTTTAATTCCTTTTTTTGTTAGTTTGCTTTTTTTTTGTTTCCAATTGCTTGCCAATTTTCCCCCCTTTTTTTTATTTTTTTTTTTTGGGCTTTTGCCTTTATTTAGAGCAGTAGAGATAGACTGGAAAGGGGGGAGAAGAATGGGGACAGACCTGCAGCAAATGAGCGGGATTCGAACTCACGACCGCTGCATCGGGGAACTACAGCCCCAGTTCATGGGTTGCCTGCTCAGCTAGGTGAGCTATAGGGGCACCCAAATGTCCTTCTTTTTATATTTAAATAAAAAAAATCTTCAAAAAAAACCAAACAAACAAACAATACCTGTCACCTACACCAAATGGCCTGGGGTCCAAAACACCCCAAAAGTCCTGAATAGGGTAGATGTACTAATTCAGGTTAAGTATAAGCCAGTGGGCTTGAAGCCGAGGAGAACCTACGTTATGACTGGAAATCAGCGTATTCTTTGGAATATATTGATTATTGCTTTCCTTTAACAAACTTGATCTACTAAATCTGTAGGTGCTACTAGAGTTTTAATCTTATTCTTCTGCCTAAAAGAATGCTTTTGTCCAGGGGTGTCATTGACATGCCGTTCTCTTTCTACTCTGGTATGTTTATTTCATATTTTGTATTTCGCTGCAAGAATACAGCAATGATGGCTTAATGCTTTAGGCAAACAAATCCAGCTGGAACGTTCATTTTCTTATTTGGACACCTGGCTTTGAGCTGTTGTGTTCGCTGTGTCATCGAAGGTTACCACTCGCCTCATGGTCACCCAGCTCTCTGAGAGGACGCTGCATGTGGGTGTTAATTAGGTGACTGGCAGTTGCTGTGAACATGACTAAGTCCTGGATGGTTGCTGCCGCTGTGGCTGGTGGGGCTGAGCACAGAGGGTTACAGCTTCACAACTCATGTAGGAAGCTAAAATCTGTTAGTGTAACTGGCGCGTACATCCCTGTGTGTGGATGTGTACAATGTTTTGACATGTATCCCGCAGATGATGAGATGCATGAAGTCTGAGTCAGTCATAGCATGTCTGCTGCTTCCAACACTGCGTGCGTGTGTGCACAAGTGCGAGCGTCTCCACACATCCGTATGTGTATGCTAATGTGGGTAAGTGCGCATTGTCGATCGCCCGCATCATCTGCTGCGCTACCGGAGGAGGGAAATTCACTGTCAAGCTAACATAAGGCAACTGAGAAATCTGTGTGTTTGTCAGTGTGTGTGTGTGTGTGTGTGTGCATGAGGAAAGTGAGAAGGGTGTATAGGATGGGAAACCAGGGATACTCTTACACATTAATCTGTTAGCAGGGAGGTGGGGGGTTGATAGTGCTCATTTATCTCGTGTAAGACAGCGATGAAGTGTGTGTGCTTGCGTGTGTGTGTGTGTGTGTGTGTGGATGAGGGGGGTTTGCTGTTATGTGATTATCTGTTAACTCAGTTACCGTGTAGCTGTAGATCTCAGGAGCACTTGGCAGGGGGAAATGATAGCGCCCCATGCTCTGTTAGGACTGGGGGGAAAAAAAAAAAAAAAGAAAAACTGCAGTGAAATCCTTGACTGAGGTTCTTAGAAACACCTTTTCTACTGCGAACTCACTGAGGTGCCTCCTACACTTTGGCGAGGTTCCCGAGAGAAAGCATTTGGCTTAAGTTCAAGGTGGTGTGACAGAAATTTATAGAAAGAACACAAAAAAGTGTGAGAAAGCAAGTGCTGAAGGACTGGTTGGAAGAAATTTGATAAGACAGTAAAAACACTGCAGTTGGAAATGATTGTGCTGTGGTCAAACGTTCATCTTCACCTCTAACGACTGCAGTTTTGACATCTTATAAAAAAATAAATACAGGTGTAACACGTCATGACTTGGGCTGACTGTTGCCTCATCATTTTTGATACGCTGCCAATATGACACCAAAGTTTCAATTACAGTTCTCAAACATTACTTTTCTGAAGTGATTACGTTCACATTTAGCAATGTAAACATGTACATCAGATAAGCAAAACATGTACATTTTTTTTCTAGAATAAACCCATTATGAACGATTTGGTTTGCATGTAGGGTGATGTAGATTGGTCACCACTATCTGGAATAACTTTACCACCAGAAATCAGCACAAACACTGTTTGATTGGCAAGTGGTATCTTGGCAAAGCATTGCACTTCAGCAATGAGCCTTCAAAAACTGAATATGACGACTCAAAAACAAGAGAAACTTTCAGATTACCACTCTGAAGGAAAGCACCAGTAGAGAAAACACAGCAGGTTTAGAGAAGAGGCTCCGGGTCTGTTATTTTCCCAGTGGGGCAATGATAACCTAAAGATTAGAGAAGCAAGTTTTTGACCTGAAGATGTTAGGTTGGACTCCCAATACCCTGAAGGCTGCAAGAAATCTGGAAATCTAGCAAGACTTGTAACCACTGACAGTAAGACACTGGCTGCACTGGACGGCTTCCACAGGGATGAATGCAGTGCAGGTGTACTTTGTACTTTCTCTGCATTTATTGGCATACTTTCCATGTTATGAGTCCTGTTGTGGCTCAAGAGATTTATTTATGTGTGATATTTAAATAAAATAAATTAAGCAGTTCCTTTTGGATTGGCAGCCAACAGCACTTTTTCATCTGCAACATCCCAAACATGTTTAGGAAGTTGATGTTAGAAACTAATATATACTAATCACTGGTCAAACTTC